CTTCCCATAACAGATGCCGAATAAGAGCGGAGGGGGGGGGCGTTGATGGCATGCGTAGGCGCAAACGCAGGCACCAGCCATTCGTGGCCCTCCCACTTCGTGAGATCTGAGTCAGGTATTGCGGTTCTGGCCGCCTGATCCCGTTTCCTGTCTTCTTGACAGCAGACTCGGGCATGTGAGGGAAGAGGAAGTATGGTAGATGCCGCGCAAGTTTACTACCACTTAAAACGAATCCACGAGTAAGTCAGCATCCCCGCACCACTACCATCGCCACGCTGTGGAGCACACCGTGAAGATCGTCAGTCGTGTGTGCGCGTGTTTGTGTGTGTAAGCCCGCGCATTTAGTCTACGGTAGTCACCAGTATGGGAAATCACGTGGACTGAAAAAAAATGCAGATTTTTACCGAAATTGTCGTACTTTTCGTCAGTTAAACAGCTTGTACGCGATGGATGGAAGCCTTTGCGTCTCGACAACTGCCGGCCAACCAATGATGCATGGGGCGGGGAAGGGAGAGTGAAAGTGTGCAGTCGACACTGGGAAATGCATCCCCGCGGCAAATTAGCACTTTCTTCACTGCAATAAATTTGACACGCTGGAATCTGCCAAGAAGCACTGAACGTCAGCTGGTGGGAAAGCTGGTTCCACTTTTGGAACCAGGTTCAAACTTCAGTGATTCTTCCTCTCTCATGCATGTGAACCTTGTCGCAACTCTCACTTCTGTAAAATCCACGTTCGTGTTTATGACACCTGTTAGGTGGTGAGTGCATATCACCTTAGCTGCTGAACCCAAGTCCATCCCTTGCTTGCCGCCTTGACTCAAACAGGCAACTGCTGTATTGGCAGGTAAGAAAGAGAGCAAGATCGCTTAGACTGTCCAGTAAAACCTGTTTTAGAACTATTGCAACGCTCTAGGCTTCGAAGGTTGCCGAGTGAAGAGTTAACTCATCCCTACTCGAAACTGGGCGCCAGACTGCGATGGCTCTATAATGTGCCTCGTGTGAGCTTCAGGACCCCCTCCCCAGAGCGTGTTACGTGTCGAGTTAAGGATCCAGCCGTAGTCGACTTTCTGTTTAGAATCGTCAGCCATTACGACCACGCCTATCTTCCGTCTTCCAGCTTTTGCCTTGCCATCTGGACGTCGGGGGTGGGGGAGAGATTAATAATATTGCCAAATTGTAGGTTACGCCATTTAGCTTTGGGTCGCCATATTTTATCAGCCACACAGTTTATAATAGTTAACTTGGTAGCTTCCGCGTTGCCAGGATAACCGGGTCCCCAAACCGTCTTTTTCGATCGAATAGAGTAAAAACCTGCAGCAGGAGGTGTGTCCTCTGCTGCCTTTTTGTAGTGCGCTACTGCACGTACAATATGTATTCGTGATCCGTAGCAATGAGCCTATCAGTGCTTCCACGGGAAGATCTGCCGCTCGAATCCTTGGGCGCCCGTGATTGACTGGCCGAGCCAATGTGTTCGTACGGCACTCCCTCGTAAAGGTGATCGGATGGGCGGATTACTGATCTAGTGGTTGTCTTTACAAATTTCTCCGATGGCTTCTACCGATGCTAATTTGAGAACGCGCTTTCGGTGTCTCCCTTCTCCTGGGATCATTTTTCGCTTTTATGAGCTGCAAAGTGTGGGGGGGAGGGGTGTGTCCAAAAAGGTGAAGTCTGTGCATTACAAACTTTCTGGAGCTTGATCAGAGCTAGCTTTCGTAATTGACAGCTATTTGTCGTAGTCTTTTTTAATGAATCTGTGATTAGCTTTTACCCCAGCGCTTGTTTTTGTTACTAATATCTCCGTTGGGTTGAGTTTACGCTCCAAATACGCACTATTACATGTCTTACACGGACATTTTAGCTCGCCAGTGACTACTTCATTTCTACAGAATATGCTTTCCATGGTAAGTCTTTTTCTCATCCTAATACCTGCCGCCATCACTACTCTCATTACTGCCCCAGTCCCTAACTCAGCACTCTCCTGTACCGCGCAACGTTTGCAACTTTTTCGTGCATTTATTACCTTGTGTTTTTCGTTGGCGTAGAAGGTGAGTCTTTGCTAAATAGTCCTCTTTCCTCCGCACAGGTGGCAGGTCCCACCCTAGAACGACTGAGTCTCCTGCATGTCTGCAAACTGGCACCGGAACATTCTTCACCAGAGGCGAGCCATCCCCTGCCACCGGCCTGGCAAGATGAGCAGCTACGGCATTTTGTCTGGGGCAAGCAACGGGATCCCTACTGGTATCTACACGATCCCCGCTGGTTATCAGCCCGACCCAAACACCTGGGCTGGAATCCTCTAGCTGATTTGCACTATCTGTTTCCGAACCTCCATCAGCTAGAGCTTTCCCTTTCTCAGCTTACCGGACCGATGCTGCTTCGCCTGCTATTTCAGACCCGTCTATCATTGCTCATCTTTGTCCAGGTTCTATGATCCTTTTTTTCTCTCCATTAATTGCCCATGCTCTGTATTTTATATTCAGAAGTATCGCTTACCTAAAAGAAATAAGTAGTGTTTATATGGAAACGTATTAGACGTTCGGCATAGGATGACTGTTTAACTTCGAACTTCACATTTAGGTTATTGGCTGCGTCCACCATTTTTTTTCACAAATTACCCAGGGTTTCTTTATTCTTATTTTCATAACAATGTGAATGTTCGATGAATATTAGGCGTAACTGGCTACTCTCGAGATCATTGTGCTCTGGAACTTTGGCCTGCTCTCTTGTGTATAAGCGACATGAGTCTAAATAAGGCAGGTAGTTAACATTTTCAAATGACGGCGGGGGTTCAGAGGGTACATCCTCCACACTGGAGTCTACAAGTCTTGTGTTGACACTGGCTATATCACTGCATAAGGTGCCCAACGCTTGGGTTACGACCCTCCTTGTGTCTGGCATCAGACAGGAAGACTAAATGAAATGCTAACACTACCGCGAATTAAGTCTCCGAAATTGTCTCAAAAGTTTTTTTGTTATGCTCATTTTCGAACTGTG